CCGTGCGATCACTGCAGGCAGAGAAGTCTAACTAATAGACTTCTCTATTAATAGAGAAGTTAAACTAATAGACTTGGATTTCATTTCTGGGAGGGAGGTTGTACAGTTTGGGTTGCTTTGCCTTGCTGCTCTGATTCCTATGTAGAGCCAGACATAAGTATAGCTCACCTCCGCCTCTTTCTTATTTCTTGGATTAAAAATCTTAGTGAAGTTGCAGATTTTTGACTTGAGACCATCGGGCTCCTTTTCTCGGGTCTTCAGATCTGAATGATTTGTTTCCAAGAGGCTTTATCTGTCTTTAACGGTGCTTTGTAAACGGAGTGGTCGGATCCAGCTGAGATCAAAAGGTTTCCGTCAGATTAAGGGAGGGGGGTAAATAGCTCTGCCGAGACCCCTCTCAGAACTGACACAGAGCTGTGGCATTAGCAAAGCAGACATCGGACTTCTCCTCTCCAACCCTAACTACTGTCCCTTTCACACTCCAACAGGAGCCTTGTACCGTGTTACAATGCTGATATCCAGTATCCCGCTGTCATTTATGCTGGATAATTGCAAACTGCATGGAGAATGTACATCTGAAGCACAGCAAATAGAAATGGGAAATATCCGTTAAGGTATTGGTCCAATAACGCGTTTGTTAGGGGGTCGTTAGAAGAGGGTAGGAAAAAAAATTGGTGCTTCTTGGCTTGACACTTCCTAAAACCTTCTTTCATTTCCATCTTCCTCCTCATCCTCCCCAAAACAACCCTCACATCAAAGTGCTTGGACTGCAAAAATTTGCAGTCTTGAAATGCAATTCCACAATTGTTACATCTCCATCCCCAGAAGTCTCACCGGAGTCACCTAAGTTGTTTCCTAAGGATCTGCAGTCCCCCTTAAAGCAAATGAAGGTGCAGATGTTCAGCAAATTTAGGGATTTGGGACAACCTGCACTTTCCCGTTCCACAGTGCAGTGTCAACAGCACAGCCAATATTTATCGTTCATTCTCAGCTATCAAAGGACAGGCACAATATTTGCCCAACTTTTTTGGATGACTGGCAATCTTTGGATGCTCTGTATTAAATTAGCTTTAAGTAGCTTATTTTGCTGGGGATGTGGTGATTGAAATCCGTGTACCTGCTGGCACAGCGTCCAGGGGACTCACATGATCGATCCTGCATTCCCAGGTTATTCACGGAGGCTGCAGCCGGGAGACAGCGCGTGTGTCTGGGAGAGGGTGGGGTGGAATATTCATGCCATTGGAAACACTCACGTTGTTACTTAACAACTCCATTAACCTCGTGTCACAAGTCATGACCTTGTGCTGACCCTGGCGGGCAAAGCAGCGCAGCTCTGAAGTACAAAACATGAAAGTGCGAGAAAGAAGGAGCAGAGGAGGAGCAAAGCTCAGCTCTCCGTGGAAGGGACTTGCCAAGCCGCCCAAAGCGCCGAACAAAGGCTGTGCACGGGCCATCCCGCCCAGGCGCTCACTGCCAGGGATTGCCAGCGGAGTCTTCCGCAGAGCTCCGGACTGACACGGCCTGTCAGCCGGGAGAGTCCCTGTCACAGACAGAGCAGAGGGGAGAGCCCCAGAGCACACGGACCGGAGCCTTTAGGTCTCCTGCTCCTGTCCCTCTGCTCTGCAGCACAGCCCTGGAGGCACAAGTGCTGCGCTCAGAGCTGAGCCTGGAACATCATCTCACCTCGATTTCAAAAACTGGGGGAAGGAGAAAACTTCACTAACCCAAGATGCTTTTCCCGCAGCTTTTTGTCCCAGGAGTCTTTTTGGTATCAGTGGTGGGACGGTCACAAGCCCAACCAATGTCAGCACCAGGAAATGGGCAAAGTGACCCCAGTTTTAAGTGAGAAGGAAGAAGGTGGGATCTGATTGGCTAGGGTAGAAGGGCAACAGGAATTTGTTTGGCAGAGTAAGAACTGTTGCAAAAGTTCTGTGGGACCTGTAAAAAGGTACTTTGAAGGCAGGCTGGGAGTGTCGGTGAGAGCTGTGGAGAGGTGATGAGAAATTCCTCTCGGTGAAGAGCTCTGGGGGGAAACATCAACTCACAGAAGCTCAGGCAAAATGCTTTTTTTCTTCCTCTTATTTTCCATCAGAGTAGCAACACAAGTGGTGACACCTGAGGATGGACAAGGGTGGTTCAGTGAGCATGTGAGGAATTAGTCACATGTTGTGCTGAGCACATATTTTGGTCAGAGCAGCTCAGCGCTTGAGGAACTCTGACCTGTGTGACTGAGGGCTTGGCTACTGTTTGCCCTCTCCAGAAAACACCAGGAAGGATGTTTCTGAGGAATTTCCATAAAGAGCCTTTCTAAAATCACTTACTTCAAAAAGAGGCCCTTGGTGCAAGCAGAGATTGGCTTCTGTTCTGAAGTTTGAGGTTTATGAAAATTGGTGTTTCTCTTTGATTTTCCAGGAGTAAATAATTACAGGTTTGACATCCGCAAGCTTTTAAGTATGATGAGTCACACCTCCAGCTATGAGATGGTTCATAAAATTCTCACTAGCATCAAAATAATAAACGCTGGGTTATTTTTGCTTTCTTCCTGGATTTGTACCCTTTAAGGTTCCAGGGTTTGGGTCTCCTTTGTCTGTCTAAAGTGAGCTCCTCATTGCGAAGCCTGTGCACAGCAAATTCCAGGAATGAGGTCATCCAGAGGAGCTGGACAACTCTCAAGAATTGCCACAAAATCCCGACAACAAGCAAAGGAGGTCTGGCATGAAATCCTACCCAGTGCCCGTGTGCCAGCCCAGGAGGTGCCCCAATGTATGGAGTGCTGTGTTCTCAGCAGGGCTGTGTCTCCTGTTTGATCTCCAGGAGCACCAGAGAGCCCTTCCCGGCTGACAAGAGCCAGGCCAGGCCAGCTGTGCCACGGACCCTCCCACTTCCTGCTGCCGATCCTGCTCGAGGCTCAGGGCTGCTGGCCCAGCTCTCCCTGTTTACGTGTTTCCAAATTCAAGGAGGAAAGGCGAATATCAAACAGACCTGGCCCTTTTGAAGTGGCTAAAGGATGCTATCGGGTCCAGGGGTGTGCTGTGCCTTTGAGGCTTGTTTGTCTTTGCCTGGTCCCTCTGTGCAGGCCTTTAAGGAGCCATTCCACCCTTCAAAGCCATCCCAATCCCAACAGAGCAGCCCCGGCACCAGAGCCAGGGCTGGGTGTCCTGTGTCGAAACACTTTGCTGGGAGGTTTTCAGATGTGGAAGTTTCTTTATTCTTTTGCAATAAATAATTGGACTGAAATTAGTTACTGTCCAACAGGAAGAAAATAAGGGACTTGGTTTGGTTTTTAAGGAGGAGGTTTTGTCCCTCAGCACTGAGCTTCCTTTTTAATGTCAGCTGGAACGGTTTGGAGCCCTTTTCTCATACTCACACACGAGCAAGTGATGGTCTTAAAATGCATCCTACTCCTTTTCTCAGCTTTAGCTCTCTAACCAGGAGCTCGCTGTGGCTTTTGGCTGGATCCTCGAATCATTGTGTGCTCCTGCTCTCTCCTGGTCAAAGGCTGGAATTGCTACTTGAGCACGTAAGTCGTGTTGGAAGGAGAAACTCAAAGCACTTGGGATTTCTTGTGGCTTATTTTAGGACTGTCTCACTTTGCCAAACCTTTTATAAGATTATAAAAAATATTTTATAAGGGAAAGAAGTGCTTTTGCTAATTAGAAAGCAGCGAGGAAAACAAAATTTTGAACCTCCAAATTCTTAAAGTAAGTGACAGTTTTGAATATCAACATTAGAAAAACAACAATGAAAAAAATTGCAATTCATTACTAAGAGCTTTTTTAAATCCAGGATTTTAAATATAGGTTTGAGTCTTTTTATAGGTTTTCCAAGAACTAGAATAAAAGCAGCTCAGACATAGAATCACAGAATAATTTAGGTTGGAAAAGACCCTCTAAATCATTGAGTCCAGCACTGCCAAGGCCACCATTAACCCATGTCCCCAGGTGCCACATCTACATGTCTTTTAAATCCCTCCAGAGATGGGGACTTCCCTGGGAGCCTCTTCTCCTGCGTCTGACACAAAGAGTCTGAAAATCAAAACAATCAACAATGTCTCTTGAGAGGGGAAAAAAAACCAAAACAAAGTTTTTAAGTTTCATTTTCATCTTTTGTTTTTTTGCTATAAAAATACAAAAAGTATCAATTCTGTTTCTGTGAATAATTTTAGATATTTTTATTTTCTAGGCAGCTCCTTAACAACTATTTTTGTTTGTAGGTCAATTAGTTGTGCCCTGAATGGAAAGTAGCAGGAATTTTGCACTTTTATAGCGTTGTAGTCAGTGAGTCCAGGTAACCATGAGAGGCAGCAGGGTTGAAGTTTTAAAAAAAGATGGATTGTTTAGTACCTGGGCTTTACTCTTACTGTGAGCAGCCTTTTGGCTCCTACAAGATCTTCTTTGATTGCCAGATGCCCTGGAGACCCTTGAAAAGTTCAGGGTACAGCAACAGGGGGAAAACATCTTTTGTCCTCTGCTAAAATCATTTCCACATCCCTTTCCTTGCCTAGTAAGGGTTTCCTCTGTTGTTAAAAATCTCTGTTGGTACCACTGGGATGATTTTCATGTAGGAACAACCTCACGAAGGTTTGGACACCTGGTGATTGCACAGACTGTCTCTAACAGACAAGATTCAGACATCAAAATGGTCAGCAATGTGAACGAGGTGGTTATGTTCTGGTATGGTTTGTTCTTACACTTTGCTGTGTGATGTTTAGGAAGAGAGGTTGGAAGCAGCCAGAGATGTTCTGGCCAATCTTCCCCAGATGATACAGAGTATATTCAATCCTGCAAAAAAACATCTCCCCCACATTGTGAGATTTCGTACTTGATTAGTTATAAAGAATGGGCAGAGATTAGAGACTAATCTTTGACTGGATGCCTTTTAAGGGGGCAAAAATGTTGTGTGATTTTTTTTTTCCCTTGTAAGTATTGTCTTATACCAAAATATTCTCCTTCCTTATCTACTGTAATTTGTTTTAAAATTGTTATCCTGGTCTTAGGGACATGGTGATAATTTCCATGACAACACAGAAAGATTCCAGAAACAGAGATTTCTGACTAAATATATGAAGGTTGTTGAAAAGCACAACTGTAAGAATTCTGCCTACTCACTGGGAATAACAGACAGAAGAGTTAAGGTATATGATCTCATCTTTGGAAACCAAAATGTTCTTTACATTGTGTTGATTTACTTCATGTGGGATGTTTTTAAAATTGGGTGAACAAGCATCTCTCCAAACTATAGCAATTTGGCCTTGATGTGCTGATGCCCAAAGCCTTGCTGGGTGTCAGGTCTTAAACTGGTCCTGATTCCACATGTAAATTCACAGAACAAACCCCCACAGAACCCAGGCTTTGTGACCAGGTGGCTGCAAAGAACTGAAACCCTTCTAACCCCCCATTTGAGCCAAGTGTAAAGCTGTGCTTGGATCCCACCCGCAGTTTAAACCTCACATTTGGGAGCGTCTCAAAGCAGAGTCCCCTGCCCCTGAGCTGCCACTGCCCGTGCTGGCTGAGGCACCTCTGCTGGAGCACCCAGCTCTCTTAGTGTCACATGGGCTTCCCCCTGCATTTATAGGGGCTTTCTGGAATTCCAACCACCACTCCCTGTGACAGGAACACCTCCACTGTGCTCCAGGTGTTCTGGGACAGGATCCTTCAGCAGGTACCAGTTTACAAAGACAATAAGTCCCTGTGCCTTTCCCAGGGGTAGCACCAGGGCCAATGACATGCAGCTCCATGTTGGGGAAGGAGTTACTTTGGAATAGTTTATGGATTTAGAAAAGCCCTCACTGGAAGTGATGCTCATTATCACAGGGTCCTGCACCCACACCTGTCAGTGACTAACAGTTCCTAATTTATGCTAATAGCTTCCCCAGTCAGATGGGGATGGTTGGTCCTTCACACTGCCCTGCTCTTTTGTTGTGGTTCCCCTCCAGAGATCACCAAACAATGCAATTTAACCTGGGGGTTGTTCCTGGGAGAGAGCTGCCCACTCCTATCTTTCTACTGCCTCCATAAATGCTTCCCTTTGCATGGCAAATAATGCAAATCAGGGCTGAATTTTTGCCTTCCCTAATTGCAAAGCTGGTTACTCCTCTGTGTAAACAAGCTGATGGTGTTTTGTTTGCTGACAGAAAAAAAAAGAATTGGGCCAGTTTATATTTGGCAATGCTTGGGGTTTTGTGGGTGGTTCATGGGCTAAGCCTGATGGAGACATTTGGTTTCTATTGAATGTTGGAAAATAACAAGATTTTGGAGAAAAAATCCTGAATCTTCTTGGTGTGAAGTGTTTGGTTGGGCTCTGATCCCCTGATTTTTCTGCTGTTACATTAATAAAACCTGAAGTAGCAAATGAAAACAGATTAATTGCATACTGTCATCCAGCAGCTTTGGTTCTGTTTTCCAAAATTTTCTGTAGCTACTCACATCTCTAAAAGGCTGTAAAGTGCCACAGTGCTCTATTGGTGGAATTCCATACATCTCACCTTTCCTTCTAGAGGTAGAAATAATTCCAAATGTGGAGGAAAAGAGACTTTTGCATTTATGTTTTTCTGTGTCAAGTCTTGCATCCTGAGGAAGTCCAGAAACTGTGTATCCTTGGGTATGGCAGCATCCAGGGACACCACTCCTGTGTCTCCAGCACAGCACAAGATAATGCTCGGGTTTGGGGCTTGGGGGAAAAAACAGCTGGAAAGGGTTGGAGGCATGTGCTGCACTAGAGGAAGTCCTGGATTCTCCTGAATCAGTTCCCAGCCTTTCCTTGTTTATCCTGGTGTGCCTCAGGTTGCTCTGTTCCCTCTAATCAGACTTTCCACAGAGTTTCTTTGGAGGTGTCTGTCACATTCCAGGGAATTGTTCAATGAGAGACACTCATTTTCCCTGCAGCCTCTGTGTGTGTGACAATGCTGGTACCACCTGTAAAGTCCTGGGATTCCCGTATCCTGGTTATCCCAGACGTGCACAGGGATAGGAACTGGGCATCCTCCCTACCTGAGTGCTTCAGGAACTGATCCAAAGAGAAACCTCTGGATGGACAACTGTTAAAGAGAACGTGACTCGGGGAAAAAGGTAATCCATCTTTTCTTACAACAGACTTGCAAATTGGATCAGCTTCCCGGATTTGCAGTGATCCAAAGGACATTGGCTTAGCCTCATGACTCCTTTTCATTCCATAATAGCCTGTGGGATTTAGTGATAAGAAACTGTCACTAAAGACTTGTCATCCTGAGCCAAAAATCTGTTCACAAGAAGTGACTCCTGCCAAAGACTTGGTTCTCTAAAGCCTCGGACTTTGGTCTCCAAGTGTTGTGGAATTCATGGGCTCCAAATGCAGGAGGAAAACCATATTTGCAAGCAGAGTTTTCACTTGGTTCTATCAGTGGGGACACTGAGTAGTATAAGTGAAGGAATTCAAGAACAGACTGTATTTAGCTCTAATTAAAGGGCAGTCTCAAAATTTGCCAGATTAAGTAAATAGTGTATTAGTTCTGTCTGTCACAGCCACGGACAGAGCAGTCCATTTGGAAGCTGAGTGATTTCCTGGAGGCACATAAAAAGTATGTTTTACATGGTATTTTACCACACAGAGTTTGGGATGAGCAAAGTGCTACTTATGCCCTGATTTAGGTGCCTGTTGCTCCTGTGCAGTTTGGGGTGGTTCTCTGCAGTGGCAGGGATTGCCCCTCAGGGGCTGCAGTTACACAGCTCCCAGAAGCACTGGGCTGAGAGCAAGGGAAAACTTTGGGAGCGGTTCGAGGAGGTTACACCCCCAGCTGACTTTGCCCCTGGTGTCTCAAAACAAGAGACTCTGAAATACGGGGTGATTTGATAGAAAAAAACCAGAAATATGATGCAGTTGTACCCCTGGCACTGCTACTGTGGCAACTCATTGGTGCAGCCTTGGCTGAGGGGTTTCATGCCACTGAAAGAGCCCCTGGGGGCTTTGGTGCCCAGCCTTGGACCATCCACTGTTAGGGGTTTTATTTGTCCCACTTGTGTTAATCAAAGAGATAAAGGTAAGCCTTAAAATATGTGGGCTAATCTGATCGTATCAAACCTATTTCAGATGAAAATTTAATTAAAAATGTGTAATCTCTTCATTAAAGGAACTAACAAGGCCTTTCATTATGCCTTCACAGTAGAAGTTCAGGCTGATGCAAGAAAACCTCTAGTAACATGAAGGGAGAGTTCATCTGTCCACACAAGATATTTGTCAGGCATTTGCCACACCAGAGATTTGTCCAGACTCTCCTTATAGGATCTTTTAGACAAGATTTTTCTATCTATTGTATAAGGTTAATATATATGGTATCTTCATATTAGGGAAAAATAGGCTCTCCTCTGAGGCACAATTCATCTCACCCTGGCAGAGACATATCCAGATGTCCAGGATAAGACAAAGTGTGCCCTTCAAGTGCTCATTTCTCCTAGTTGTAGAGAGAAGTTGGAAAACTAGCCTTCAGCCATATTTCTGTGTGCTCTACAGACAGAGCTCCTGACACTAATTTGGGCTGTGCACCCCTCAGGAGTGCCAGCAGACAATCCAACTCTTTACCTGTTAACAAGTATAGAACATTCTCCCTGTGGTTGTCTTTAATGCAGATGAATAATTTCAACCAAGTGGTACAGCCTTAGACATAACTCAGGCAACTTTCATGACTTATGCATGGCTGTAGTGTCACCCAGGAAAAGACAGAAGAGACAATTAAAAATTCGGGACAAATCCAAAGAATTCAGTAAGAAAACCCCCAGTGAGATTCCTGACTCTAATTGCTTTGCTGTATTTCCCCTGTAATTTATGGCACTCTGTCCAAGCATTAACCATTCTGGCAGTGGTCCAGCAGGCTGACAGGCTACATGTTAAAACCCAGCCAGCCTTCCAAAGAGATGAAGTTTCTCCCTCCCCATTCCTCCCTTCCTTTTCCTGTTGTATCTTCAAAAGGAGAAGGCCCAGTGGTAAATCCAAGCTGAGGACTGAGGCTTTTCACAGCCTGGTCACATCTCTGCTCCATGAAGTGCTCAGTCCTCCAGAGATTTGGTAAAAGTCTTCATTTTAAAGTGAGGAAACAAGGTTTTTTTTGAGGGAAATGTATTCTCCCTGGCTCTGGAACTTGCCAGTGCCAGGTTCTAAGCCAAGACTTCTATCAAACACGGCTGGTGTCCCTTGCTGTCTGCATTAGCACTGTTCTGTGGGAATGGTGGTGCTTCATTTCCCCAGCTCAGGGTGATCTCCTACATGTTACAACAGACAACTGCAGATACAGAGGGTCACCTCCAAGGCCTTCAGAGAGCAGATCATGAGGTGTGATGTGCCAAGGGCTGCAGATGGAGGGTAAGTCCTGCCCTGTTCAGCTGGAGCAGAGGAGACTGAGAGGAGAGCTCAGTGCAGTTCCAACTGCCTGGGCAGGGGCAGAGGAGGGGCAGGGACTGAGCTCTGCTCTGGGGGGACCAGGGACAGCAGCCAGGGAATGGCTGGAGCTGTGTCAGGGCAGGCTCAGGTTGGATCTCAGGGAAAGGTTCTTCCCCCAGAGGCTGGTTGGGCACTGCCCAGGCTCCCCAGGGCAGTGGGCACAGCCCCAAGGCTGCCAGAGCTCCAGGAGGGTTTGGATGATCCTCTGGGGCACAGGGGGTAACTCTTGGGGATGAGCCTGTGCAGGGCTGAGGGTTGGACTTGATGATCTTTGTGGGTCCCTTCCAGCTCAGCACATTTTGGGATTCAGTGATAACAGAACAATTAGTGTGGAAACACAGGAGTAGTCCATGGAAGGTCTATCCATGCACACTTCCCTGACCTGACCAAGGGCAGTGTGAGCTCCCAGTGCCCACACACACCAGGCACACACTGACAGGCTCCTACACGGATAGTTCAGTCAGATCAGGAGAGAAAAATGATAAATGAGTGGTTTAAAAATGTGGCTAAACAGAGCTCCTCTTTCTGCACCAGGATGTACAAAGCCACTGTGGGGAGTCTTGCTGATGGAGAGCTGGGATACACAATAAATCTCTAGAGTCTGGAAGCAAGTAGGCTCACAGTTTGTAAGCAGGAACATCTTTGGTTACCAGTAGGTGTCATTACAGGTTTGTGGACACTGGGCCCAGCACTTGTGACATGGTCACAGCCATGGCCAGGCTTCTTGGAACTCCACCTGCTCCTGTGGAGAGAGACCAGCTCCTCATTCCCACACTCCTGGGAGTTCAGGGCCCTTTCTTCAGTAATTCCTGCTCAGTGTTTTTCCTTAGCTCACACGTTCTCTTCAGCACTGCAGTGGGTGTGTAGGAAGTAGCTGTGTTTCTTCTTGGCACACTTTCCACAAGCCCTAAGAGAGCACCTTTAGAAGGCCTGGGTCTACAGTGGAAATGCCATTTTGCCAACATTTCCAAGTCCACCAAGCAAATCTCAGATTTCAAAGATGTCCAGATGTATTTGACTGAGACTTGAATTAGAAAAATGACCTTTTTACTGTTGCCACATTGTTCTTTGGGTGGTTCGGTTCTCTGCCTCCATTCCCAGGAGAGTGCAGGATGTTTGTGTCAGCACCACAGAGACAAACAAGCAGCTCGTGGGGCAGGAACAAGAGCATGGAGGCTGCAGTGGGGGCACGGGGACTGTGTGTGTAACCCTACCCAAACATCCACCCCCCAAGCTCACATTTCCATGTGCAGCCTACTCTGCCATGTGGATAGAAGCCCACACTTGTATGGATCTTTGGTGGTCAGAGGTACAAACACACAGTCCGAGCTCCAGCCTCCTCTGGTGAGACAGGTTTCCTGCCCTGAGTGACTCCTCTATCTCACCTCTGTGGGTGGCTGGGGCTGTAGGAGGGCTCAGAGAAGGGCTCAGGCAGCCTGGAAGTGCCTTTGCTGGAATTCCTTTGCCCAACACATCCTCAGGTCACATTCCCTGTTCCACAGCTGCAGCCCACTGAGATCCACACTGCTTCTGGAACTCACCTTGGCCTTTCTCTTCCTCTGCTGCTTCTGACTGATTAGAGAAGAAATCCTTGTTCTCAGTCCCAAGGTACTTGTTCCTGCATCCTATTCCCATGGTCCAATTCCCCACAGGAATGCCATTCTTCCTGAGGCCACTCTGATCCTCCTGGATGTTAATGGTGCCTCCCAGCTCCACAGCATCAGCAACTTTGACTCTGTGTTCTGACAGCTGGTGCCAGGGTCATTCCCAGAAATATTTTACAAGGTTGGTTGCAGGTCTGATTCTTCAGAAATGCAATTAAATGGCCCATTCCAGCCCAATCCTGCTCGGTCCTTTATGCTACCATTTATTATTTTAAAGAGTGTTCTATCTACAGCAAAATTCTTATACCAAGCCTTGTCTTCCATGGTTTAACTACTGATGCCCCAGCTGATAATCTACCAAATCCTACCCTGCTGTCCACATAGCCCAGAGCAATGACATGTCCATGGACATCTGGTGAACTGAATCCTCTCTTCTTAAATCCCCAGGTGTTTATTGGGATGCCTGAGTAGGGGTAGCTAAAGCACATGGTTTGGGACCTCAGGAGTGGAATATGTTGGCCCTGAAGTCTGGAATAAAGAACACCCCTCCCACAGCCCTGCTGCCACTCACAAGTGGCACAACACTGCCCTGAGTTTTCAGTGCCACAGAACTGCCTCCATGGAGTGTGTGGAGAGGATGTTAAAGCAATGAGGCACAAGTGGAGAATCGAGAATAATAATTTATTGTAGAATATATTAACCAGATTCCCAATGCCCAGGTTTGTGGGCTGTAGAGAGCTGTCAGCCATAACCACATGACTACCATGCACCTGCCCAGCATGTTCAGGGGGAATTTTAGAAAGGACAGTGTGGTTCTGCAGGGCAACTGCAGGTCTTTTCTCCTGGCCTTGTAAGCCCCCAGTGATCTGGGAACCACAGCTCTAGCTCTAGACAGTGTTCAAACTCCTTTGTTCCATTCTTAGAACTGAGATTAAAGTATCTTCCTTAAAAGAGGCTAGAATTTCAAGGCAAAAATTTATTCAACAAGCTGATCCACTGAAATCAAATGAAAAATCTGATGCATACAGAAGTACTGGTAATAGGAGAACAGGTTT